AAAGTCATGGTGCACTCAGTGGCCACAGCTTTGGCAAGCAAGGTCTTTCCTGTCCCAGGAGGCCCGTAGAGCAGAAGGCCAGAGCGGCGCAGCCCCACGGACAGTAGCTCCGGGTGCTCCAGAGGCAGCTGGATGGTGTCCAGGATGTCCTTCTTCGCCTCCTGGAGCCCACCAATATCCTGCCAGGTGACCGCGGGGATCTGCAGTGAGACCGACAGCCCAGTCACCCGCTTCGTCCCCAGACCAGAGCCAGCTTGCTCCAGACCCCAGCTGGCAGCTATGCGAATAGGGCATACTGACACCCCCACGCCATGTGCTCCCTGCCTGGTGTGCATGGTGTACATCCCTGATCTGATTGCACCCCCTTCTCTCACCCCCTCACCGCCCCCAAACTCCAGCCCATCACCTCGGACTCCTCCACAGCTCTCAGCCCCCTCCTGCACTGCCTCAAAGGTCACACCACCCTCCGCTCCATGCCCTCCTTCACACGGAGCGCCTCTCCCTGCTGCTCTACCCTGTCCTCGAAAACCTAGCCTCCCCCACCAGCCCCATGGCCAAACCCTGGCCTGTGCTCACCCTGCTGCCTGGACCAGGTCACCCATTCTTCAGACCCTTTCACTGGCTTCTCTTGCCTTCCACATTGGATTCATGCCCCTGACCCTGCCTCGCCGCCCAACTCCCTCTTTCATTCCACCCAGACTCCCTCCTCCCAGAGCTGTGCCCTGCCCCCGCTTCCCAGGTGGCCACTTCCACCTGGAACTCCCGCCCTCTCCCTGCTCAAATCCCAGCTGAAAAGGAGGAAATGACGGCTGTGTACGAGCTGCTGCTTGAGACGCCCGCTCCCCGGGGCGCTGGGTGTCTGAATGGCAAAGCTCCCAGAGCCAGGGGCCGTTCTGTGCAGTGCCAAGCACGCTGCCTGCTTTCCAGACCCACAGCTGGAACAGTAACTGGAGGGAGAGACCTTTACTGATGGGACCAAAATGTTGCAGGTGCTCAGAGAGCCATCCGCATGACAAACACAGCGATAGTGGGTCACGGACTATTCCCATCATTGTCTGCAGTGTCCTTGTAGCTGCGTTGGTCCCAGGACATTAGAGAGACAAGGTGGGGGAAGGAATCTCTTCTACTGGACCAACCTCTGTCAGTGTCAGCTTTGCTCTTGTTCTGGTCTGGGAAACTAACTCAGTGTCACTGCTAAATTCAAGGTGGATCCGATTGTTTAGAATAAGCGGTTAACACAAATTTCAAGAGACCATGCAAGGTGAAGTGGCCTGTTAACACTCCTCCAGTCATTGGCCAGAAGTAGTGGGTTACAGATCCTTGTAATAATCCGTAAATCAGGGGTGGGCAAACTTTTTGGCCTGAGGGCCACATCAGGTTCTGAAATTGTATGGAGGGACTGTTAGGGGAGGCTGTGCCCCCCCAAACAACCACGCATGGCCCGTCCCCAGCCCCTGCCCCCATCCAACCCCCCCCAGGACTCCTGCCCCATCCAACCCCCCCTGTTCCCTGACGGCCCCCCCGGGACCCCTGCCCCATACACCCCCCCCTACTCTATCCCCTGACCGCCCCCCCAGACCTTCTGCCCCTAACTGCCCCCCGTCACCCCATCCAACCCCCCCCTTCCTTACGGCTCCCCCCCGGGACCCCTGCCCCTATCCAGCCCCCCTGTCCTCTGTCCGCTGACCACCCCCGGAACTTCCACCCCTGACTGCTCCCCACACGCCCATCCAACCCCTCCTCTCCTTCCTGA